TCACAGACGTTCTTTGATACCACTTTTCATTACCTTGTCGTATGTACTTCCTTATACCTAATGGTCATCCAGATCTACTTTGTGAATACTGAAGCTACAGCATAAGTCAAGTACGTACTGTATATGCCAGCTTCTATTATGCATGGCATACAGTGTTTGACATCAACTCCTAGAAGTAATTTTTCCAAACATATACTTAGTAGTGAAATATAACCAGAGTTGGGCAAAAGATGAACCCCACCCCCAATAATACCGTCCTCCCTTTTTTCCTTAAATCACCTGTTGGGGAGATGGGACACCAAGCAATTATACAAGGACATTTTGACAGGTTATAACTGATTTATTTAATTTATGATTTTCCAAGACTTTTTGCAGGCTTCAACGTAACTTGCTTCAGTTTAGTGGGAAAATCTTAACAACATTAATTTCATATCACAGAAGTTAAGGTGTTAGGTTTACACAGGCACAGAATTTGAGTATTGTGTATTTTTCCCAGATCTGACAATTTCCTATACATCAGAGGTACCATTACACTTTGAAAATGATCATTTTATAGTTAATAATAGTCATTTATTTTTTATTTATTTCATGGGTTCTTAATATATTCTATGGGCTTTATAAATATATACCATATCTTAATGATGCCTAGAAGCAAAAGGGTGAAAAATGTGAGTTGCTTCCATTTTATGTTGAAATTCCATTTTTGTAGAAATTAACAGCTGAAATCTGTAATAGTCTGTATAGCAGAGGTGTCCAACTTGCAACCTGCAAGTTACCAGCTGCTCCCACTCAGCTGCTGATCCCCGTTGCTCTGGCTGCAACAGCAGCTAGGGTCTCCAGGCTCATTCCCCAGTCCCCCCACATACCCAACTTATGCTTTCTGTCTCCACCCTAGGAGTGTGATGAGAGCCAGGGTCACCAGTGGAGTATAGTGCAGCAGAAAAGCCCATGACAAAAGCTTGTGGTAGAGGCCAGGTTGCCCATATGGCACAGTTCAGTGGAAGGGGTGCCCATATGTCATGCAGCCCATGGGGGCTATGGCCCATGCATTGTGTGATCCCTGATATTGTGGCTCCTTGCCACTTGGAAGTTGGATAGCCCTGCTCTACAGAATATTTTGAAGTTTGAACTCATCATGTATAGAACACTAAGCCCAACAGACTAAAGGTGGTGGGTGACATGGGTTTTTTGACCATCTGTACTTAGCCTGAGACTGAATTGATTTAGTTTCTGCAGATTAGTCTAAGCTGCAGAAGTTGAACTAATAATCAAATGAACACACTTTCACTTTTGATTCAGGAAATGCAGACACATGCCTGCAGTGGCTCAAACCAGAAGCCGGGTGGAAGGGGCAGGAGGAGGAGTGGGGGCGCGGTGCTAGAGCACTCCTGCCAGCCACTGCCAAAAGGGAGGGAAGACAGAAGCCCTATGTGACTTTTCCCCCCCACCCTGCTGGAGTGGAGGGGGGATGGCCAGGCCCTAGTCCATGCTCTGCCTGGACAGGGGGGTGGAGGTGGAGGGTGGGGGAAGGTAATGGCATTGAATTCATAAAAGCTTGAACAAGAATAGTTTTTTCTGTGAAAAACTATTAACTGAGGAACTATAAATGCAGCATGAGCTGTGTGTTTGCTTACTCTTCCTGCTGCCCCCGAGGTCTCTGGGATTTGCAGTCCAGAATCAGAGCAGCAGGACTGAGCAGGGTTGCTCATCACTTCCTCTTCCTGGTGTCTCTGAGATTTATAGTCCGCAGTCACAGCCAGCATTAAACCGGCAGGGCAGGGCAGGGCAGCTCTGTACTCAGGAAAAGGTGAGTTTAACCCCCATTCCTGGCCCCAGACTCCAGCCAGGGTTTACCTAGTTGGGCAGTGAGCCGGCCAGTGAGCCAGCCCTTACTGGTCCAGTTAGGGAGCGGAGGGGTGGGGCCAGCCTGGCTCTCTAGAGCAGACAGCACAGCACAACACAGCTCAGGTCTACAAACATGCTGGGATGCTGGTGCACTCTGATTTAACTTGAACCAGGAAGGCATCTGGGACAGAAGTTTCATAAACAGTTTGACCCAAATCAGTTAAGTCTGATACTGTATTCAACCAGGTTTATCTTAAATGAGTTTCAGCCATTTTGTGCACTGAACTTCTGTTCTGTTACGGATTTAAAACAGCTTCTGATCACTTATACCAGTTCATGTGTAACTTCTGTCCCTAGCCCTCATGAACTACCAACATGTCATTTGTGATTTTGTTTTCTACTATCAGAAGGAGTAGGACTTGAGTTTGCACCTGCTTGTGTATTATATTTCAAAGATTGTAAAGTAGGTTTAGAAAATAAGCATTGGTAGAGTGAATAAATATTCAGTTTCAGCCTTCTTAGTTGTTTTTAATTTTATTAGCTCTCCTTCAGGAATTGTCTTTTTTGTGCAAAGACCCTTGTATGACAGTACTCTTCACTGCTTCTGTCCTTGTATTAAATGGTTTGGCCTGAAACCTGACACAGTGAAAAGTGGCCTAATTACAGTGTTAACTCAGTCTGTCTCTTTCCCCCATCTTTTTATATTTTCATTTTCTGTTTATGTTATTTTGATAATCTACAGAAGTGCTCAGATTTTCATGTTTCATGAAATGTATTTGTGGGATTAATAATACATTTTTGACAGTGTATGATTATTGCTGTTGTTATATTGGCATTGTATATGAATAAGAATATAGTTGGAAGCAATATTTATTCTCTCCCACACCTGCACCAGGGTTCAACATTCAGCAGTGCTAGCATAGAGGCAATGCTGACACCAGCTCCCAGGAAGTCTTTGCAGGGCATCTGTAGGTCATAGCCCCATAAGAGAATTTAGGTCTTGTGTTCTGAGATTCATGCTTTTTATTTTGTCCCCTAGATTAAATAATTACGATTATAACAGCAAAAGCACTTTGTATGTATGTTTAGATATTTCTCCGTGTCACTTGTCTAATGTGTGTGCAGTACTTCCTACTCTTCTCAAGAAATTTCTGTATTTAACTGCTGAACTAGCTAATTAAAGATATTTCCTCATTCACTGCCTTTCACTGTCATTGCATGTTTATTACTTGATTATTTATCCTAGTTGCTGTTCAGTGTATTCTAGCAGTTGGTGATATGAAAATCTTGAGGTGGAGGAGAGGAAAAAGGGGATGCATGTTTATGCAAAACTTGGATGTCATTTCTTATTGTTTGGTGAAGTAGCTGTATATGTACTGTCTAAAATTCACTTCAATATGAAAAGTTTCAACTTTACCAAAATTAGCTTTATTCAGGTAAAAACTGACCTTACTTCTGTTCTTCTAAAGAGTGCTGTAAAAATGAGCACATGGTAATGCATGAATCACAAGTAATACATGATTCTGGAATAATAGCACAAAACATGTTCACCACAAAAAATGGATCGCTTGTAAAAGCAGTCACACTACTTTGTATCTCTGTATCAGACACGTTCTGTAGGAGCCTTTTCTTTTTCATAAACACCAAGACTTTAGGGCAATACCTGTACCAGCATACATTTGCTTCTGGCAATTAGAAATAGGTAGAGATTTTTTTTTCACTTGTCCAAGGTTGTAGCCAAAGTGAATAGGGTACCTTTATCTCCTATTCAGTCTTCTATTTGTTTAGAGTAGCCAGTTCTTAGTGACAGCAGCTCCAGGTGAAACTAGATGAGTTAGGGAACAAATAGCATGGAATACAAAATATTTCCCCAGCCTGTAGAGAAGACAGATTGTTGTCAACAAAGCTATGGTTATATCTTACAATTAACCATTCTTGAGCATGAATTTGTGCTTGATTTCTTTAATATGTAGTAGGATCTTTCCTCCTTTCACAAAAGGGGTCACATTTTTTATGTTGCAAAGTAGGTCTAATGAGCTAGAATACCAAAAGTCATTCATGAATTAGTGTTCTGTGTAACAGACTATCAGGAGGGGTGTGTGTGTGTGTGTGTGTGTGTGTGTGTGTGTGTGTGTGTGTGTGTGTGTGTGACCATACATAAAGATGGGGGTACTCTATCCAAAAATTTCAGTTGGTCTTCAACACAGCCCATTATGTTTGTAGAACAGAAGTCACAAACTCTTTCACAGAGGGATGAAAATAGATTGCTTTAGATTTTGTTTTGTTTAATAATTATAGATTTATGTAAGATAATGATCTTAATATATAATAATGTATAATATATAATTGGCAATAGTGTTTTTGAGAAGCCTGGAATATCAAGTGCTGGAAGAATCTAGAGGTGTAAATAGAAAAAAATAATGCTTATGCTTGTTTGTATCATTAGACTTAAACACAGTTCTTAAAATCTTTTAACAAAATATATTTATATTAGAGAGAATAAGTCCTAGTGCAGCCAGAAATTTGCTGAACACATTTCATACACGTGATGTTCTTTAATAGAATGGTTCCATAACTGGTCTTCAGTATTGTACTGACAGTATAATTGATGTTTCTTGTTTTATTATACTGCAGGATATTATTTGTGAAAGATATGAGACTACATACGATAGGTTTAACAACTGCTAACACAAGGCCAGATCATCTGTAGAAAAATTATTCTTATTCCAGTGTTCTAGGGAAAAAATATTTTATTGGATCGAGTCAGAATTAGCAGTAGTGTTTGTATTGTAAAATTAAGTTTTCTTATCTGATTTTGACTAAACTCGTTTTTGAAATGAGCAATAGCAGAAATTATGCCCTGAGCTTTATGAAAAAATGCACACTGTGTTCTATTTATAGGTATAGTATTATGCAGAAGGCTTAATCTTCCAATATACATTTGTTATAATATAGATTTATAGATTTCAGTATCTTATTGTGTAGCAATATTTCTTAAAACTGCTTTTACTGCCTTTTGAAGTTATAACTTAGCATGTTGTTGATTGAATAGTCTGAATGAAATATCCCTTTAGGTCTATGTCTGCTGGCTGAAATGCGTCTTATGGGAAATGTACTCTTGCATAGACTAAGCAGCTTTTTTTTTCTTGCTGTAGGATAAGAAATGGGTTCTCAATCATGAAGATGTCACACTGGGAGAATTGCTTGGCAAAGTAAGTGATCAACTGAGCTAAATAAAAAAAAAAAAAAAAATCTGAGTGTATGAGTTCAGACTGTGTATAAATTGTGAAGTCACCCTGCATGGCTAAGCTGGCACGAGTCACTGATGTGGGTGGGCATGAATGAACCCCCCTGGCCTGGTCTCAGCCTCCAAGCTGGGACCTTCCCAGGTCGGGGAGCTGGGCCCTGGGTGGATTTCCTTCCTTTCTGCCCAGCTGGGCCAACTCCATAGAAAGAAGGATAGGGCCCCAATGTCTGGCAAAAGCCCCTGGGGCTGCCTAGCTCATGTTCCCAGTTGCTGCTGGTGCTGGGCTCTGACGGGGTATGCCAGGTGGCTCAGGGGGGCTTGCACTGAGTGGCAGGGTCTGATCTTTCCCTCTGTGGAGAAATTCCATCCCTGCCACCTAGCACAAGCCCCTCGGGCTGCCCGGTGTTTCCCATCAGAGCCCAGCAGCTGTCAAGATATGGTTGACAGCTCAGGGGGCTTGTGCCGGGTGGCATGACCCAATCGTGCCCTCTACCGATTGCTTCTGTCCCAGACACTTGGTTTATGCTGGGATGGGGGGAGGGTTTCATCCCCCCCCCCCACCTGCTGCACATCAGTGACACCTCCTGGCTCTTGGGGGGAGGGAAATGCCCCCCACAACTGGGAATACCAGAGCTGGAAGGATTCTTAGCTGGATAGGGGAATCCCCAGAGGTGGTGCTGGGCTCAGGGGCTGGCCAGGAGAGGGGAGTCCTTTCCCCCTTCCCCGCCACAGCCGGTCAGTGACTCATGCCAGGCTATCGGGGGGGGGGGGCAACCCTCACAGATCGGGGGAGGGTTTTGAGGGTTTATTCACCCGTGTCCCCCTCTCCCCCTGCCCTGCAGGGCTGACAGGTGAAGGCAGGGCTAGGCTGGGGACCAAAGGCATTGCTGCTTTAACTCTGTAATAATTGTGGGGTGGGGCTGGCCAAGCTTAGCTGGAGCAGACAGCAGAGCTGAGGCTAGGCCACCTGCCCTGTGAGGGGAGTTGACTGGGGGGTGGTCCCAATGTCTCCTAGGATGCTGTGGGACTGGGACATAACTTGAGTCAGGAGGGCATCTGGGACAGAAGTTCCATGAACTGGTTTAAACCTAAATCAGTTAAGTCTGATACTATATCTATCCAGGTTTATCTTAAACTGGGTTTGGCCATTTTGAAACCGGTTTATGTTCATTATATTTCTGGTCAGTTATGGGTTTAAACTGGTTTCTGATTACTTATACTGGCTTATGTATAACTTCTGTGTCTAGCCTGAATGACTTTCTCAGTGTTAGAAAGCAAACACTAATATCCAGATAACCTCAAAATAACATACAATAATCTCACAATAATACTCAAAATAATACCTGAGCACTTATACAGTGGCTTCTACTATCAGTCTTTTACAAACATGAAACTATACAACACACCAATGAGCTAGGTAATTAATTATCTCTGCACCTTATTCTATATTTCGTGTAACTTAGACTGCATGCAGATAGTGCAAGCACTGAAATGAATATTAAAAGATTCCCTAACTCTCAGACCTGTGTTTAATTCACTAGACTATACTGCCTTCAATTCTCTAAAATATGCATCAAAACCTGAAAAGTGGATTTAAAACAAAAGTACCCAAACAAAATCAAGCAGCTGGGTTTAGTGTTTATTGGAAATATTCTTTTGCTGCAAGAGTTAACTAACTTCAAAGAACCAGAGAAGGAAATACTATCAAAGCATTCAGCTTCTTGGGATAAAATCTCTGATAGCCGAAGGAAACAAAACCACAAACTGCTATTAGATGTACAGATAATTATGTCCACTTAAGATACCATGCAGATGTAATTCTGGCTTTATATTCTTTGATAGAAAAAGCCAGATGGAAAAAGTCAGTACACTGGTCACATGAAATAAGGTTTTTCACCTTAAAAATAAGCAAGCACATTATCTGACTCTTGTAGAGACTAACAAAACAAATGACTGAATAATAGCAATATCAGAAAACTGAGCAAGTGTTAAGTGGCTGCGTAAGAAACTGATTTTGAAAAATGAATTATGACTATTTTGTGACCTAATTTAGATGTAAAAGTATAGAGAATATTCAGTAACTAGTCAAATTACTATTTGTGAAATAAAGTTGTCTCAGTTGTATGTGGATGTTCTTGTTCTATATGAGAGAGAGAGTCCAAGACTGTCCTCATACTGAAAGGGTGCATATTCCTGCATTTGGAATACAAGGCGATTCATTTCTGTATGTAAGAATGGTGAACTGCTTTCAAACACATTATTTACTAAGAAATATGTTAAATAATGTCTGCCTGGGGTGAACATTTTTGAATTTGCAGTCCTTGATAGCTTAAACCCAAAAGACTTACAGGATTGACTGCAAAAGTCTCTTATCTCCTGATGTACATTTTTAATCTCTCTTGAATTATGGGAGACATTTTAGAAGACTAAGAAAATACTGTGTTCTGTCAAATTTCCAAGGGGTCAACTGAGAGGGTCTGAGTAGTTAGAAGTTGGTTAGCCTGATATCAGTCCTGGGTGAAACTTAATGGAAGAGGTGATAATGGGATTCAGTCAATAAAGAAGTATGTCAGTCAACATAGTTTTATGGAAACTAGATCTTGTCAAACAAATCTTTTTTGCGAGATTATAAACTTATTTGGTAAAACTAATTTCATAGATGCAATAAATTTAGATATTCGTAAGGAATTTTAACTTAACTTGTATCCCATAACATAATTGTACAAAGCACCATGCAGTATCAGTGGGAGCACACATTAAATGGACTGAGAACTATCCAACCTCTTGAATGTGGGTATTGTATTCATTGTTTCTGGGGCCAACTGTTTTGACACTTTTTTCAATTATCTGGAAATAAATACAAAATTATTGTTGATAAAATATGCATATGCCATATAATGATACATAGTGATGAGGATAAGGCAGTTATAAAAAGGAATCTATATTCCTGGTGGGCTCACACAAAATTGTATTTTAATGCAGCCAAATGTAAGGTCATACCTCTGAAAACAATGTGTGGGGGCCAGATCTGCAGCGTGGGGATATTATTCTTTAAAACAGGGACACTGCCATAGATCTTGGGGATGGAGGAAATGGAAGATTCATCATGACTTCCTAATGGAGTGCTATAGCAAAAGAGAGCTAATTTATACTTTGAATGCATTACTAAAGGAGAAATGAATAGGAGTAAAGTGGATTTTTTACTTCTGTAAGTGGCATTGGTGAACCTGAAATACTGCATCCTTTTCTGGCTTTTTACATTTTAAGAATGATGGAAAGTTGGCAAAGGTGCCGAGAAAACTCTCTTTGTATCCCCCCCTCCCCCGGTCCCAAATTGTGAAGACTGGAAGAATGTCTTACAAAAATACATCAATCTGAATCAAGAGGAGTCTTGGTTGTGATATACAAGTATCTTCATAAGAGAAAATAAGGGAATAAGGGCTGTTGATCAAGCAGAGAAAGGTAGGACAGGAATCAATGACTGGATGTTAAAGCCGTACAATTTCAAATTAAATGTTAGGTATCCATTTTTACAATGAGATTGATCAACCATTGAAATACAGCTTATTGGGAAGCAGTAGATCTTCTTATCTTGGAATTGTCACCTCGAGGCTAGATACCATTTTGAAAAATATTGTTTAGGCAGATACACTTTATTGGTTTCTATGCAGGAGTAACTGGTTGAAATGTAATGGCCTGTGATGAAGAGATGGTCAGACTGGATGGTTTAATGGTTTTCTAGTCTGAGTCTATTAACCAGTTGCTATAATTTACCTTGGCAAGGTACTTTAAAAGTGTGCTGTGATTAGTCTAAAATTAATGAAGAGAAGGTGAAAGGTGCTGGTTGTTCAGAATTGAATGCTGTTTAGAATGTTCTGCTTAATGATGAATAGAGCAATTCAACCACCAACCCACTCATGTAGACAATACAGCTTCCATCCCAATAGATCCAGATATATAAAGCTTACCTACAGGTTGTTTGATAGATGGCAAATAATTGGGCAGGTGATGTCTGCTCCTGGCCCCCTTCCAATAGGTAGGTGTTGCCCTTCTTCAATTACTTAAGGCCCTTTTGATGAGCAATAGTGTATAGTCAAATTATTATTATTATTGCATGGTAAACTGAGGCTTAGGCGTATTAAAGTAAAAAATATCCACTGTTTTAGGTGCCCCATTTGAGACACCTTGGAACAGATTTCTTAAAATAATTGACATTATATCCTATATGTACTTGCATACTACACATACCTGTTCCCCAAGAAAAATCCTTCCAAAATCGGCACATATGTCTTTAGCAGGGAAGCTGATTTTCTGCCCCAGAATTGAAGTATGCAGTGGCTGCAAAGCAAACTGTAATGGCTACTGAAATTACCCTTTTCTAGCTGGAGAGGGAGGGGCAGAGTGCATGTCACCATTAGCTTTAAGCCATTCACAGATGCTGCCAAATTGGCAGTGACTTTTGGCTGAGCAGCCAAAAGCTACTACCAATTTGGCAGAGCTGTAAGAGGGTTAAAACTATAGCTCTTGCCTGAGCAGTGCTGGGTAGGATGTGTAGCTGAATGCTGCATGGCTGAAGCTAGAATTCAGACGGCTCTGGAAAACCTGTTTTTTCTTCATTTTTCCTTCCCAAGTCAAGGTGCATCTTATTTGGGGGGTATGGTATGCAAGAAAACATTTTTATATGTTTAAAGCACAGCTCCTATTGGGCAGGAGCAACAGTTCAGGACTTCTGCGGTCAGACCCAAAGTCTGAAATCAGGCAGCACAAAATGAGGAACACTCAGTTCGTGACTGCCTAGGAAAAATTAGGTGCAACTTGACTAGCATCGAAGAGGAACAAAGAGGTAGCAACAGGAATAGAATCTAATTCTCCTTGACAGGATTTACAACTCCTCCTTATTCTTGGCACTTTCAGGCATCTGCAACAAATTAAGCAAAGTTCCTATAGACAACTGCCACTTTTACT